TAGCATTGCTGTAAGTTCTTTGGAGGCTGAAAGATGGTTTTCTGTGATGAACATAATTTATTCTGACAAAAGAAATCATCTTGAAGTTAAAAATATGGCAAATCTTCTGGTCATAAATTTGATAGATATTCCATTGGATCTTTGAGACTGCAGCAATTCAGATCGAATGTGTCTAAGAAACCATAATGCAGCTGATGGCACTAGAGTCAAAAAGCATCATACTTCTGAACTATCTTAAATTGGTTTCTTTTTAATACTATAAAGTGATTTGTTTCAATTTTCAGATTGACAAGAAAAAAAATTAGCAGAATAGATTCCTAATCTTTATGTTCCATTATAAAACTGGTTCCTGGAAATTTGGGATGCCATTATTTTATACATATATTTCCAGGAACTGGTTCTATAAAAGTAGGTAATGTTTAGGAACCTATGCTGCTTATTTTCACTTATTGCTGGAATAAATTATGTTCATCCCAAAAACCGTATTTCAGTCTCTGTAGAACTTACAGTAATAGCATTAGCTATTTTGGCTGTTATTATTTTGGGATAATCCAACAACCAGTTTGTTAAGCTTTTATATTTAAGAATTTATTCGTGTGAATTGGTACGTTGCCACCACTAAGAAAGAGAGTGCAAACTGACCCCACTATTAACCTTTATAAAATTTCTATTTCATTTTTTAAGATATTTGTGAGCTGGAGTGCTTAATCTATAATTTATAGGCAAAAAAAGATTTCTGGTCACAATGCCTATTATACAATTCTACCGGGTTAATATTTGTGAAAATACTCAGCCATTTTTTATCCATTAGGTGTTTGGAACTGCAGCAATTCAGTTCGAATGTGGCTAAAAAACCATAGTACAGCTGATGACAGTAGAGTCAAAAAGCATCAGACTTCTGAATAGAAATATGATGAGAACAAAATTTCAATCTGGAAATATCTTAATAGATAAATGTTTTCTACTAAGATATCAAAATGGTTTAATTCTTTTTTATACTATAAAGTGATTTGTTACCATTCTCGGATTGAAAGGAAAATAAACAGAATAGTTTCCTAAAGATTATCTGCATTTATAGAACTGCTGCTTCTGGAAATTAGGGATGCTATTATTGATTAAAAGACAATCTATAACGCCAGTATGTTATTATTATTATTATTATTATTATTATTATTATTTACTTGTGTCTTTTATTTCAGATGTTTCCGATAGCAGATCCAGGTATTGAGATTCTTTCAATTTTCTGACATTATTTTAAAATGGCCAATGAAGCTGCAGGTAAAACTGGTGATAGTTTTATTTATTTTTTGTGGTTTATCAACCCTT